AAAAAACTATAACGGCAAACTGGAGACAAGTTTCGTCACCATCTATAGCAGAGTGGAAGAATCGGGTAAAACAAATGTATATGATGGAAAAAATTACCGCTGGTTTACAACTCAAAGTGGACAAGTTCAATCAAAGATGGCATTTGGTGAAATTGTATTTGGGTGTGTGATTTTGGGCTCTAGTGATTCTAATGGATCGCAATCTGCTCCGTCATCGGTACTACTAAGGTATATAGTTGAATACGTGTGTGTATGTATACTCATAGGTGGGTATATATTATATATATAATTTTTTGCTGTTCGTTTACTGTATGTTGTATTTTTGGCCTGTGGGTAAGCACCCTGGAGGGGAGGGGGAGGGGTGTGGGTTTGTGTGTATGTATACGTGCAGTTCTCTCTTGTAAGGTATTCAAAGTCTCAGGTGACCTGGTTTATCGTGCTGCATTTATGTTGAAATATTGTATATGTGGCATCAGTATTTCTGTTATTGATTTAATTACTCTTGGCTCAGGGAATGTTCTTTTGTTGTGAAAAGTTTTAAAAAAAAAAAGTAAAAAAAAAAAAAAAAAAATTTTAACAAAAACTAAAGTGGAGCTGTGGCTCTTGGACACTGCAGGATGGGGAGCGGGGCACCGCCCAATCACAGACACTCTGCAGGAGAAACACAGGTAAGTGACCACGATCATCTGACAGAAGATGATTATCTGAGTTGGCCACTTACCTGGTTTAACAGTCCAGTCTTAGAATGTCCCCAAGAGCTGCAGTCCCAGAGGACATGCTGGTCAGGGTGAACTGAATATAACCAAGAGGAAACAGGTGAGAGGAATAAATTATAATTGAGGCAGGGAGGGAAAACAACAGGTGAAAAGAATGACTAATTAAGGAGAGCAAACAGGCCAGATCATGACAAGCTGTCAGAAGAAATTACAATCAGATATCAATTCAATTCAATTCAGTTTATTTATATAGCGCCAAATTCACAACACATGTCATCTCAAGGCACTTTACAGTTCAACATGAGTTCAATATGAGCATCAGTTAACAAGATAATAGATGTTAAATAAAGTTAGTAAGATTTAATTGTTTTCATTGGAAGAAAATTGCCTCTTCAGCTACAGAATATTTATAGTCAACCTTTTTTGCAATTTATAGATAAACCTTTCTAGAAAAAAACAAACTGGTTTGATCTGTTAGTCATCTGTCAGGAAGCAACTTAAAGACATGCAGATTCTTACAACTGGGGAACAAAGTGGGAGCACTTATAGAAGAAAAAAAAAAGAGAGTTTTTATTAGTTTAACTACTGAAACACTAACCTGACTCTGCCAGATGGATTTGCTCCGCATATCCATCTGGAAACCTTCCGTTGAAGTAATTTTGGGAAGGGGCGAAAATACCGTTTAGCTGATTGGCCTATGTTGGTGATAGACGGGCCAAGTAAACCAATCAAATCAACGAAGCATACGACGTACTAACAGAGCGACGACGAAGAGGAGCCAATTGATAGATCAAACTCTTGCCGAAACCAGTCGGCAGAAGAGCAAAAACATATTTTCCTCTGAGAAAAGCCTCCAGAGCAGTGTTTTGCTCTTCTTTCAGTGAAGAAATACTCTAGCCTGGGTGCCATTCCGAACTTAGTCCCACCCACAACGTTTGAGGTCGAGAAGTTCGGTCTGGCATTGCTCAACAGTAACGCGAGTATGCTCGCACAATATCTGGCGGGCCAATCAAATTGTCAGGGCGGGCTTTATACGATGATGGACAGATGATCAACAGTAACGTAATCAACCACGTCACCAAAGTGCGCTTGGGTGACAACAACAATGGCTGCCGCTGGAGAGTTGAGGTGTGTAGATTCTGCTATTAGGTCTGTTCTAGAAGATATCGGCAGCAAATTAATTTTAAAAGAGGAACAGAGAAACGCGATCAAGTCTCATCTTCTTATTCTAGGTGTGCAACTGCACGCTTTGATTTTTGTTGACAACAACTATGCGTCGCTTAACATACGTCACACACTCTGTTGCTCTTATTGGTTGTAGGTCTATCCAATTGAGTGCAGAGGCATTTTTTTCCTGGTTCGTTCGAAACACGCCCCATAATCACAGCTCTATGGAGCAGTATCAGACTGATATTCTGACTTGAATTGAGTAGGACTACGTCAGGCTAGAAATACTCTGTAATTCCGATAAAACTTGCTCGATAGCCACGCTAACGCTAGTTTCATCGGCTGAAGCCGCCATGTTCTTTAGACTGAACTGTCCCGCTTCTCGTTGCGTCACACCTCAACCCGCCTCAAAGCCAACGCTGATTGGACGTTCGTTTGGTGAACGGCTCCAAATTTTCTTTAACAGAAAGTAGCCAGACTGATCTGCGAGTGAAACCTTGAAAGCTTGCGAGATCAGGACGGTCTCACGAGGCTACTGAAACACCACTACCAAATAACCATATGAATATGCACATAGCAAGAGAAGACAAACTGATTTTTCTGGTGGTAGATAGTGGACCAAACACCAAACAATCATCCAGCTCTAGACAATTAATATAATATTTAAAAAATGCCATTGAATTAATGTGTTTTTGTGGTCTAATTCTAATGATTGAAATGCCAACATATTGAATCAATTAATGCTTTTTTTCTCTGTCTTTTCTTATCGTTCACCGGTTGTTGCTGTGATCACCCTTCCCTGGTTAACTGGTCATTGGTTATAGTGGCAGTAAGACCCCCGCCCCCGATTGAAAGAATGACTTTCAAAGACTGTAGAGATCTGTCAAAGCCCTAAATTGGGTGCATTCAATTTCAAAAGAGAATATGATGTGGACCAGCTGTCACAAATTATATTTGTTGCCATATCTACAGTCTTGTGCAGGGGGAGAAAGGTGTTGTTCGTGATGGATGTAAGCTTGGACAGCACCCTCCTTTCAGCCACTTCCTCCACCGAGTCCAGAGCGCAGCCCAGGATAGAAGTGGCCCTCCACACCAGCTTTTTCAGTCTCTTTCTGTCCTCCTCTGCGCTGCCTGGGGTTCAGCAGACTACAGCGTAAAGGAGGGATGATGCCACTACAGAATCTTACAAGGTTTTTAGTTTTTAATGAAGAAACCTGCAATGGTGTATTATGATGTAGCCATATCACAGGGTTCCCGCAGGTCCTTAAAAAGTCTTAAAAGGCATTGAATTCTTCAAAATACCACTAAGGCCTTAATTGGTATTAAAATGTCTTAAATCAGTCTTTCGTCTCTGCAACGCCTCCATTTATCACCAAATCAAACATACTAAGAAAACGATAAAATAGCTGCAAAAAAGACTTAGCACTGGTTATGTTGTAGCTTTAAAAATGATTTTTGTTCCCTGCTAAAACAAAGTTTGTGAATTCAGTTAAATAATTGTTCAAATATATCTGTCATTTGTGTGTTTTTAGCTTTCTTCCTGTATGGAACATACAGTGCAGTGGTTTATTTTAAAATAAACCTTTGGGTTAAGTTGTCGCAAGCAGGTTTTTCTTGTGCTTCTTGTTAATTTGGTCTTAAATTTTTATTTCAAGTGGCATTAAAAAGTCTTAAAAAGTCATGAATTTAACTTGCCTTATGCTGTAGGAACCCTGTATCAGCGGAAACTCACCGGTTAAAAACGAAACTTTTCTAATAGGCCTCACAAAGGCTTTAAAAAAGTTGAATATTTTAAAACAAATTATACAAAAATCAATACTGATTCCCTAATTTTCATTCAATTTAGAATCTACACAAATTTAGATCCATATTTAGACAATGGGTGAATCAATATTGATAAAATATCAGTTGGTTTTCATCACTTTTTGTGTAATTTAAATGTCAGGCTTCAACATGAATCTGACATTGAATCACTCATATTTAACCATCTGGTTATTAAACACTCTGTCACAATTGGGCTATGGTTAGTTGACCCAAACGCAGAGGCAGGGAGGCAGAGGTGAGTCTTTTGTGGATTTAATAATTAGTTTACAGAAAACAGAGGCCGGATATCCAAAAATCCAAAAATCAAAACATGAAAACTAGTCAAAATGTACCAGAAACCATGGAGACATCAGAGGAATCACAATCATAAGGAGGAAGGCTCAGAGAGAAGGAGTTGGACCATGTTTGACGAAGACCCAGCAAAGAGGAACTGAAGAGAGAGGGCTTTTTAAAGGAAACTGAGACAAAGAGAGGGCTAATGAGGAAACTGGGAGCAGGTGTGCAAAGAACAAGAGAGGGAAAGAGCTAGGGAAGAAGGAGAACACAAGAGGGCAGCAGAGAGCAACACATAGAAAGCTGGAAGACTGGAAATAACAACAAAATAATAATTAAACTACTAGAACTATAAAACAAGGAGAAAAGAAAACTAAACACTAGCACTAGAAAGCAATGAGTAAAGCAAGACTGGATACTCTAAAGAAAAAAACATAACAGAAACCCGACACACTCTTCAGCTCCTAAAACTGTAATAAAGTTTTAAAGTGGCTGAGAAACTCCTGACTAACTCCTAACTCCTGCAGCTTTACTTCTCTTTCTAGTGCAAAGCCGGGTTATATTCTGACCAGCCACATACCTCCTCAGGACTAATTAGTGGAAATGAACTCCAGCTGCAGTGACAGGTTACACAACCCAGATTACTACTCTGTGCTACAGGGGTTTGTTTGCACTCTTCCTGTGCCGTAAATTATTAAATAACTGACTGTAATCCATACAGAGCACTGGATTCTCAGACAGACAATAAGACACCTGATGCTGCATGAAGAAGTAAAATCCTGCTTTTGAAAAGAATTTAGATTTTTGAAAAATATCTAAAGCAAAAAAAGTATATCAACATGTGGTATTAAAAAATATTAATGTTAGTAACTTAAATGTTGCTGGAATTTAGTTTGTATGAATCAATTACCCCCATGTGAACTGAATAAGTTAGTTGTGTATCTTTTACTAATTAAATAAAAATTCATTATATCAATCATGAAATAAACAGAATATATAAAAAAGGCTACAAACTAAATCTAACTGAAGCCTAAAAATACCAATTTAATAAGATTCTGTCAAACATTTTAATTATGAAGCAAAAAAACAGAAACCTTGTGGTGGTCAATATTCTCATAATCCATTGGCATAGTGTTGCAGTAACCCATGGCAACTGCTTCTGTGTCAACAGAAATCTTGGACAGCTCCTGTGTTCAATGAAGGTGCAACGTTATTGGCTGACCGAATCAATGACTCACAAACTTCTTTATCTATTATGCATGTCAGTTCACCTTAACTGTGTTCTTAGATTCATTCTTAGGTATACACAGCTTGGTGCTAGCTGGTCTTTGTTAACAAGGGACAAATAATCTTCTGGGTAAGTCATTTTTTTGGTATTTGGATTTTAATTCAATGTTTTATTAAGATAAGACAGTTAATATCTCAGCATTTAAGATATATATACATTATATATCTCACTATTGAACTTTCTTCTTCGAAGACTATTGTTGGGATTAATAGTATTTGAATTCTTAAACTCTGTTTTTTTTTTTAGGCCTTTTTCAAAGTAAAAAAGGATTACTAACATATTAAAGAAAATCAAATTACAGTTTTACAGATAATATTAGACTTTTTTCCTCAAATCAGCTTCAAATTTCACTTTTCTGGACTAGTTAGTCCTCTTTGTCATGTTTTAAGTTTGTAATAATGTTATAAAACCCCAACCCTGATCTAAATTTCAATTAAATTAAATTCAGTTTATTTATATAGTGCGAAATTCACAACACATGTCATCTCAAGGCACTTTACCAGATCATACAGTCAAACTGATACAAAGTTTTCTATCTAAGGAAAACCAGTTGATTGCATCAACTCATTGACTCAAATACAATCCCTCACACTAAGCATGCTTGTAGCGACAGTAGAGAGGAAAAATTGCCATCTCCCAATTTCTCCAAATATTAATCTCGGACAGGTCTGTTTTTAGCTTGGTGTTTTTTCCTTAACTATTCATTTCCCATTGTTTATTACATGTTCAAACCTTAATAATATAAGCATTTCAAATTTTCACATAGTACTTGCCCTCCTACGTGTTTAAAAGGGAGTTACAGGATGTGTAAACTTATATATTCCTACTCAGTAATTTAACAAAATTAATCTAATTTAATTTCATAATTCATATTTTTCACTAATCTTAACCAACAAACCCTAAATATTTCATATGTTACGCTGAGATTACAGAAAGCAGGAAAAGTCTATAATAGGTCATGTCTGAAGGCAAATGGTTACAAATTAATCTTATTTTGGGGCAGCAGGCAAAAAGTGGATGAATTGAAATACCCATTACACCTTAGATTTTGTTGTTGAGAAATTAAAACATATCATTTTCCTTACACGTTTTCAATTATTTCCAAAAGGAGAAAGAAGTTTAATCGAAAATGGAGCTGCTTGGATCAACTCGGACTGCAACTTATGCACGGCCAAAAACCAGCCACTTCCTTCCTGCCATCTCCACTATGGCATCAAGCTACCGCAACCCTCAGCCACTCTTGGCGATGAATCCCAGTGCCAATATTTGGAGAACCAACAGCTATTACAAGAGCAGCAATGTTCTCCCTTTGACCTCCTCCACACAGCATAGTAATTTTGATCTGGTTCGAGCCAAAACCAATTTCTACCCCTCTAACAGGACCACACTAACTACCCGCTACACCCCTGATGATTGGTACAAGTCCAACCACATCAATTACAGGGAGTCAGAGTCGTCACGGAAGAGCGCTGAACGACTGAGGAGAGACACCATCAGGTTGATGCAGGATAAAGAGCAGCTGACCAGAAGAACGCAGGAAAACACCAGCAAGAATATTGGAGAAAGGCTAAATGATATTGTCTTCTGGAGGTCTGAGCTCAGCCATGAGATTGACAACATGGTGACAGAGATAGCGGCACTCAATGAAGTGAAAAGAAGGCTGGAGAGAGCCTTGGCAGAGACTGAGGGGCCCCTTCAGGTTAGAACGGGTTTAACTTTTTAACAATCGTCTTTTTTTAGACACATAATGTAAAAATGTGTACTTTAAGGTTTCGTCGTGGTTTTAGGTCAACTGGCAAATTGATCTAGGCTGAGGTGTTAGGTTGGCTGGAGGTTGGTTGAGGACCCAAATGCAGGGATGAGGGAGGCAAAGATGAGTTCTTGGAGGTTTAATTAAATCAAAAAGGCAACAGAAACAAAATCCAAGAACCAAAAACCAGGAGACGTCAGGGGAAAACACATGGAGGGCAGAGTAAGAACAAGAAACCAGCAAAGAGTCACTGAACAGAAGGTGTATATATGGGAGACAGAAACAATGGGATGACTAATGATCTGATAGGCAGGGATGGACTTAGGAAATTTGGGGCCTTAGGCAAAGACCAGCAGGGGGCCCTCTGAATTGAGATGATAACACATAAAACAGACCCATTATTCAGATACAGAAATTTTAATAGAATAGACATCCATTATTTGTTCTACATTTTGTCCCTTTCTTCTTGTCCCCTTTCTTGTTGTTTTCCTCTCTGACTTTTCATGCTGTCTCAAAAGGAAGGAACGATTGTTTCCAAGCACTAAGCTCACTTAGCTGATTGTTTCTTCCTGTCCTTCTTTTCACTGTAGACAAGCCATGATCTGCTTATCTTTTCTCCATTTTTCATTTGGATGAAATAATAGCTGCGTGAATCATGACAGCAGACAAGATAAAGGAGAGCAGGAGGCAGGGTTACCAATCTACTTGCTCTGGAGAGAAGAGTTCTCTGCTTTTATATGTTGTCGGCAAAGTCTCCGGTAGCAGAAAGAAGTCCCTAGATTTGGCACTAGGTTCTTTTTTGAAATAAATGTACAAGTGGGGTTTGAAAAGTCGCTAAATATAGCAACAAAAGAACTAAGTTGGTAAACCTGCTTTGCGCATCGTTGGTTTTCAAATGGTTTGCTGCTGTCTGTTTGGACCTTTGGATTTTTATCAAAAACATAATTGATGTGCACAAATAAGGAATGTTTGTATTAACCATACATCTAAACAGGGTTTTATGGAGCCCCCAGGAACTTGGAGCCCTTGGCAACTGCCTAGTATTGCCTAATGGTAAATCCTCCTCTGCTGATAGGGAGCAGGTGTAGACAGATGTAACCAGAAGGAGCAAAGGGAAACGAGCGTGACACAAGGGGGCAACAGAGAGCAACTAAAAAAATACAACACTGCTTAAATATAACACAAACTGATACATAACACAAACTGGAACTGAAAACTTAAAAAGAAACTTAAACAGAAGTCCACATAGGGCACAATTATGACAAAAGGTAATATTTGGTGTTTTGTGGAGTGACTTTGCTGTGAAAACCTTTGATTGGAACATTTTAGCAGGATAGTAGAGTGCTGGTGCTCATCAAGCTTAGTGTTGATGAGAACTACAGTAGCAGTAATCAGCAGTGCTACACTAGCAGTACACTAACTTTACACTAGCCGGGTAAAAGCCCAATGGCATGTATACCTTGAGAGATTAATAACACGTAGCTGGGACTTTTCTTTAAAGTTTCTCATACAGACTGAAACTAGACGACATCTTTGACCCAGATCCATCTATAAATTGGTGATGATTATTTTTCAATGGCAAGGACTTCATGAGGCTTTACAGCAGTTCTTCATCTGCTTGAGCATTTAGACACAACTTGTTTTAGTCTCTCTCATTCTGCCTATAGGTGGCTCAAGAGTGTTTGTACCACAGAGAGAAGCGGATGTCCATTGACCTGGTACACGACGATGTAGAAAAAGACCTAACAAAGGTAAACCAACAGCACCAATATCTTAGTTCTTAAACCAACTTATTGTTTGTAAAAAGTGTGAATTGACTCCCAACTAATAAAAGGAAGTGGAGGTTATAAGGTCATGTCAGGAGCGGATGAGGCGCCATCTGGAGAGAGCCACCGCTCAGCTGGCGTAAGCATTTAGATATAACAGTAAGCAGTAATTCTCATTATAAATTCAAGATTAAAACAACTGATTTCATCACTTGTGTGTTTTTCTTTCTTAGGTCAAATCGAGGTGCCCAACATGAGCTGGAAAAAGACTTGGGAGACAAAGTATCTGCTCAAAGGATTGATGATAAGTGTCACCATTTGCGGAACACATCAGACGGTATTGGCTTTTACAGAGGAATCGACAGAATAGATTACTCGTGAGTACAAACGTAAAGATGAAAGGTTATTCACATTAGATTGAGCAAAACCCAAAACTGGAATTTTATATGTATCGATCGATAAATTTTATTTCATTAGGCAGACTTTAAAGGCATACTATGCAACATTTTTCAGTTAATTATGTGTTCCAAAACGTTTTGGATGATTAAATGAGTCATTTCAGGTCAAACAAAGGTTTTCTCGGCCGCCCTGGTGGTCTGTAGGGGAAATACTGTACTTGCAATTGCAGGAGCCCTCGGCCCGCACCCACAGGCTCAGAAGTCTCGTGCATCGCGAGAGTCGGTCTTGCTTTACGGCGAGAACTTGGCTAACTACAATCTTTGTTATTTAGACACATGCATAACAAATAATGTATGAAAACATGCTAAATTTTCAAACTCATAAATTGGAACAAAATAGTCACTTACCGCAGTAGACATGGTGATTCGTTGCGTTCGCCTGTCTGCTAAGCTCAAAACAACCGCGCCTGGCTTGACGGAGAAACCATGAGAACAGCTGAGCATAATTACGACAGTACACTTTTACTTTCGCCCTGTGGGGGGAGCCTCACTGGAAAATCAACCCCGGTTGCATAGTGTACCTTTAACATTTACATTTCTTTCAGCTTTACCTTATTGTGAGAGTTACTTTAATTCAATAAATTAGACTTTGTCATTCTTTAAACTAAGCAGGAAGAAGTGTATACAAATCAGTTTAATAAAGGAATATATGAAATACATAATTATGACATGAATTAAAATTTTAGGTTACATAGTCATTTTAAAACACAAACATCCCGAGAACCTTTTTTAGAATAACACTTGATTAATTGCCTGTGCATGTTTTTTTCTCTTTCTTATTCTTCTCTATTGTCAGAAATTTCACATTTAACTTGCTTTTTTTATTCCAAATTATATATTTCCATACCCATATATGCCAGCTTTATCTTTTCCTGTCTACATCTAGCACATCATCACCAAAAGAAATTCCTTATTATGGCTAAAACACTACTTGGTAATTAAACTTTTTCTGTTTCTGATTCTGAAATCAGGAAGTTCTTTGATTCCCATCTACTGTTCACCTCCCTTTGTATTAAACCCAGAATGTTTGGGACACTGGAACTGCATCTAAAAATTGTGTTTAAATATATTCTTTTCTTCTTTTTCTACCTCTTGTTTATTTGTGTGTGTCAGGGTTTGTAGGGGTGTTTCTTGCCTTTTTATACCTGCCGTTTCTAGAAAAACTTTAAACACTCTTATTCAGTTTAACCACAGAAATCTGTTTGGTTTTAAATTCCAGCTAAGCCACGCTCTATCTGATGAAAACCAAAGGTTGGAATACCACCAGCCTCTAATGAGTGGTTATTTTAATATCATTATCAGACTAGGTGTTTTTTTTTTGTTTTTTCTGTATAGTTGTAGCCCACCTTAAGAAAAAAAGATCAATTTGGTCTGTTTATGTTCACTTCACTGTGTTCACTTTCCAAAAATGTTTGTTAAATAATTTTATTTGAAGGCAACTAATTGTTGCTGATACCTAAACATTGTACTTATGTGTGAATTTTGGTAACTCTATCTTTTACAGTACATTAATAACCATGTAATAACATGGTAATAACATAGCAAGTCACACAATATTACTTGGTAACAGGAAAAACTTTATTTGGTATTTACCCCAAAATTAGGGTTTATATGCAGGTAATTTCCTGCATGTAATTGTTAGAGTTGTATGTTACTATGTGTGAGGGACCAAACTTAAATAAGGACAAAAGGTGTTCAAAATTGGAAAAGGTGCTTTCATTTAAATGTGTAAAAATGGTTAACAAAGGCTCAAAAGCAATACAAAATAACTTAAATACAAAATAACATGAATCTAGGCCCAACTTAACTGAGGTCAACTAAGGATCCAACTCAAACAAAAAACTGACCTGCAAACAAAGAACTAAAGGCTGCTTAAAAAGGGATGGAGAAACCCAAGTCGACAAAATGAGGGAGGCACAACAACAGAAACAATAAGTGAATATTTAAGTGATAAACTAATTGAAAACAACTTTAAACAAGTCTCCCCCGTCAGTCTTTCAAAAATGGTATGCTCCAGGTTTTTCCTCCAGCTGGTTTGCATCAGCAGCACCTCAAACAAAAGAACAAGTGTAAATAAACCATTCAGACAGCCATAACTAAATTGTGCACCCATTAGAAAATACCTGTCTAAAATAACCAACTTAAACATAAATTGTAATATAATATAAAGCAAGATACTTGTTTATTACACAGTTTCTATTATTGGCCACCACCTACCAAACTCTTACAAAGTGAATTGTAACTTGTGATCAGGTAAATAAAGCATTATAAAACTGAACTAAAGTTACATATAAATAAGAGTCTAGTTAAGAAGATTGGCTTTCTATATTCTAGGTTTGGTTTTTCGTTATATGCCAAGTAATAAACTGCATTTTACTAGATAATAACAGACCAATTTATTGCTGTTGGTGAAATTACTAATTTACCTGTAATTATGGTTTGACATCTAAGAAGGCTGACTTTATTTTGTCTGCCTAAAATTTGAGGCACAGCATTTACCAAAATTCTCCCTAAAGGGTTTCTTGTTACCTAGTAATATAGTGCAACTTGCTGTATTATTACAATGTTATTATATGGTTATTGATGTACTGTAAAAAAGACAGCTGAATTTTAAGCTTAAAGTCAAACCTTCTAGGTTCGTCTTCTATTATACAAAATTTCATAGGTGTTTTATGGTTGTGATGTATATCCAATGTATATACATTTCCAATGTATTCAACTGCTAGTTGAAGGATCAACCAACCCCTTGACATCACCGCTTGAAGCATTGCAACATGGCGGCTTCCTTCCCAAAACGTAAAAAAAAAAAAGTTTCCTTTTATCTTGATATTTTTCACATTTGTAATATAATTAATGGTAGCAGCAAGACACAATCTAGTGACTTAAATTAGTTTGGTTAACAGTTTAATTTCCACTTTAAAAACACAAGCAATAGCTGGAATGTATTTATGCTTCTTTTTTCCTTCTTGCCAGAGTTTCTCTGCCGGACTCATGGTCAAAGTTTACAGACGACAACATCCTTCGCTCCCAGAGCGAGAGGGCGGCCTCTAACAAACTCAGGGATGAAATAGAAATCTTGCTAAGCACAACGTCCAATGAAATGTGGAACCAGTTCAACAGTGTCAATGTTGCCTTCACCAACCGCATCTCTGAAACAGCTGATACCAAGAACAACCTGCAGGCACACCTAGCTAAGGTCCTCTTCTACACGCCTCTATTTCAATATGTCATAAAGCTCTTCATGGAAGACAGATAAGTGGATAGGGATTTGTTTTCAAAGTTATGATTTTATTCTCATGTGAAGATTATCAGTTTATCAGTTATACATCTACATGTGTAAAGTCAGGAATAAAGATTAAATAAAATCTTCTCTCTTTAAATGTAATTATTATAAAGGAGCTGTTATGCCTTAACAATTATTGTTGATTTTCACAGAGAAACTTTGATTTCACGCATTGTATTACCTGCAAAACAGCATTAAAAAGTGGAACGTAAGGCCTGTAGGAAACGTCTGTCCTCTGCCAGAATATAGGAATGCCAAAACATTGCTCTGTTGGTGGTGGGATATTTAACACTGAGTCTTACTGACCTCTGAATAACAAGACCATTTTTTCCCAATAACAGCAGTTATAGAGAAGCTTATTTAGTTATTGTGTTTTAACCCTAAAAGGTAGCAGTGATATCAGACATAGTTTTCATTATAAACTGTTTTCTGTTCACCAAAAGAAGGGATTAATGCCATTAAATCATAATAAAATAATTTTAACAAAGCAGTTTGAAATAGAGAAGGTTGAAATGTTTAACTTTTTGCCTCTTTGCATATTCTCTAAATCCACACAGATGTTTCTATGTCTGATATCCTGTTTTAGATGTAACCTCTCATATGTTTGTGCTTTAATCAGACTTTGCAGGAGATGTTTCAGACCGAGCTGCTGATTGAGTCTCTAAAGAAAGCTCTAAGAGACAAAGAGAGCCCGTTAAAAGTAGCTCAAACCCGGCTGGAGGAGAGAACACGGAGGCCCAACATAGAGCTTTGCAGAGATAATCCACATCACAGGTGAAGGTTTAGCTGATTTTATCATCAAACTGTCCAGCAGATACATAAGTCCACAAAAAGTAAGGTATTCGATCTTTGACATAATAGTTTAAACCTGCTTTCTGATCTTTGATCTATTGGCGATAAAGGTATATTTAAATGTACATTCATAGGAGGAATGCCTGTTAGGTTAAACGTACCTTTTTTATTTATTTGTTTTTATTTTAGGCATATCTATTTTGACTTAAATCTAATTTTATTTTGATATACAGTGTTTAAGAACACTTTATATCTACAGTTGTGCTTGAAGGTTACATGCCCTCCCAGTAAAGAAAATGATAAATTGAGACTAGAAATGTAAATAACACAAAACTGAATATTAACTGGTAAAAAAAATAATTTATTTTGAATTTTTTATTATTTAAATAAAAAATAAAGAACAGAATTTCCTTGACAAATTAAAGTACCTCGCTCATGAACAGCGATCAATATACCTGTCAACAGGTGAAGATGTCAGACTGAAGATTCCCTCAACATTATAGATAACACCTGATTTCAGTGATTATTGCCTCAAAGTGTTGCATAACCAATGTTTTGTTGTTTAGTTGTTCTATTTATTAATATATGTATAGATCGATATATATATACGTATATCAGTATATATATATGTATATATATTTCAATATATCGATATATATATATCAATATCTCTTTTTTCTCTTTTTCGGATATATATCCGATTATTACTCGATGATTCGATAGTCAAAGGTTCCTTAAAGAAGACGTTTTGCAAAACTAAGGTGAAACTAAACATTTTCAACTTGAGGAGTTCTGGATAGAGCAGACTGACAGACAAAAAGGATTTTAATCTTAAATGCAAAATCTTTACATTTTTGTTTTATTTGGTATAATTGCTGCTCATGCTCTGTCAGCATGTTTTAGAGTCTCTATTATCTATATATAGATAAAATCTATCTCATGATTTCCATTTTGTTATCATTTTTGGTGGGTATGTAAACATTCAAGCACAACTGTATATATATATACAGTTTTTACCATCTTTTACCATCCCAAAACAGTTTCAAAACTGCAGTTTAATCCAGTATCAAAGTAGACAAACCGAATAATATTATAGTGTCCTTTAGACCCTGAACCAAAACGTCTCATCTGTTTACATCTGCTAGTATCCTCTTTGAGCTGATGTGCTGAATTAGGGTTTAGTTTTTTACAAAATAAATAAACATTCAACTACCTGTCTTTTTCTTTGCTTCTTCAGGCTTGTGGTTGAGGTAAGAGAGATTGAAGATACTATTCAGAAACTTCAGGAAAGACTGATGGAGGCAGAGAACACCCTGCAGACTCTTGCAAAGACAAAAGTGACCCTGGAGCACGATCTGTCCATCAAGGCCAACTCTCTGTTCCTGGATCAGGAGAAGTGCATGAGCATGCGGAAGACCTTTCCTAGCCTTCCTCGCCTGGTGGGGTACACTTAAATCAGACGTTTAAAAATCTGAATTTCAGAGGAACAGGATGCACATCCTCCATTCATGTCAAAACCAGATGATCAATTTTATAAATTGATTTATTTGACCAACAGGTTACTTATCGCTTCAAACATAAATTGATACTGTTTTAAACACATCTGGGTGTCTTTAAAACAGTTTACACTTAAGAGATAAATGATGTTAAAGATCCACCAGTAAAGTCTGTTTTGTTTTCTTGATGCATTTTTAGCGTTTTGGGGTTGACCTGTGCTTCTTTTTTTTTTTTTTACACAGTTTTCTTCTGTTTTGGCTTCATCTTTGTTTAAGAGATAATGATCTTGTGGAATTTGGATGAATGCTTTTGTAAACATGAGATTATGTTTAAAATGATTGTAAAACCTGAGAAGGATCAGCCTATTTATGCAATTACATCCTTATTATATATAAATATGAAATGCCGTTTTTTCTCTTTGCTGTTATTGTATCTGAAATTCAGCTCTGACAGAATGGGCAGCCATACGGAACCTACTGAAGGGAAAAAATAAATAAATGGAAAATGTATAAGGAGAAGAATGTCCTTTTGTTAGGATGGAAAAATGTTTAAAAATTTTTGATACAAACATCATATGGTGCAAAAACATGCATGTCAAATTCCCTTGACTGTACCATCCTGGCATAAATTTACGATGATGACAGCATCGTAATGTGGAAGTGCTTTTTTTATCAGCAGAGACAGGAAAACTAGCTACAATTAATAGGTGGATCCATGGAGTTTAGTACAGGATGGTGTTGAAAGAACAACCGTATAGGGCAACAAAAGATATCAGTGCGGATTGCCCTCTAGTAGGAGAAACACCCTGAACATGCAGCCATTATATGATATCGAACCACCCTACAGTAGTAATATTCATCATATTCTCATTATCAGTTCGTATGAAATCGTACGAAAAGTTATGCACAGTATTTTGTACATTTTTGACGTTTTTTCTCGAAAAAAATATCAGTGCGCATGCGCAGCCACACTGACGAAAAAAGCAGATCCGCGGATGGACGTAAAACTGGGACGGACAGTGCAATAATTACTTCATGATGTCTCTCACTAGGTTGCTTGCTGTTTTGTATGTTAGGGTTAATTGTATGTTAAATTTTATGTTATTGAATGGTGCGTAAGATGCACATGCGCACGGATATCTTGTCTCGAGGCAAGACGTAAAAAGACGACGAAATACGACGAAAAAAACCTCAAAAACGTACGAAATACTGTGCATAACTTTTCGTACGATGTCATACGAACTGATAATGAGAATACACTGTAATATTCTATATATCTTTATTGTGTTGCTTTAATGTATATGTGGCTTATGATTATGTTAATTAAATAAAAAAAACTCATTTAATATGTTTAAGTGTCTAACTTGTCGAATTTAACGAATCTAATCTAATATAAGTTGGGTTTTTTAGAAAACAATGGGCAGAGGTTACAATCTCTGATTGCAAAAAAGGGAAGTGTGAGATTTTATTATTTAAAGTGTGAGACTTGAGAAAAAGAAGTGACTCACTGTTTTGCAATACCTATTACAGAGTTATTTAGTTACTCACTTGAAGGACTAACTAAGCAAACAGCTTGTTAAACACACACCCAAGCTATATAAAGTCTCATTCTTCTCTTCGGTCCTGTTGTCAGATGGTTTCTGCTATCCTGATTCAGCCACAGTTTAGCCTGATTACATTTCCTAGGTTAGCTACCTATCATTTGCTGTTTCATTCAGCTGACACCCTTTAAATTTTAAGCAAACTCAGGGTCCACGCATAGAGTAAACAGTACTATCAGGACATTACCCAACCCTTCAAACACAAGCTTCCTGTTTAACCTTTTGCTCTACTGCTGAATATAGATTCTGATTTAACCAGTCTGACTTAAAATTAAGACAAAAATATGTTAACTTTCCATTTCGAGATTCAAGTAGATATCAAGCAATTGGATAGAACAGGTCGTTTAGCTCAATATGATAGTGAAACCTTAATAAACACTCAAAGTTAATGTGTTTCTTTCAAGAAATCTTAAAACTGTATCTGCAGGGTTCCTACAGCATAAGGCAAGTTAAATACAAGACTTTTTAATGCCACTTGAAATAAAAATTTAAGACCAAATTCACAAGAAACATAAGAAAAACCCGCTTGCGACAACTTAACCCAAAGGTTTATTTTAACATAAACCACTGCACTAATTTTTCAAATTTTGATGGAAATACAGGAAGAAAGCTAAAAACACACAAATGACAGATATATTTTAACAATTATTTATCTGAATTCACAAACTTTGTTTTAGCAGGGAACAAAACAAATCAGTTTTAAAGCCCCAACATAACCAGTGCTAAGTCTTTTTTGCAGCTATTTTTCTTTGTATGGTTTTCTTAGTATGTTTGATTTGGTGATAAGTGGAGGCGTTGCAGAGACAAGGGTGGAACTAAACTGAGAAATACCGGCTGTTTATTGGTAACTCGATTTTGACGCTTTGTGTTTCACGCTTCACATGTGTGACTCCACTGCCTTAATTCCCATCGTTCTGAGCTTAAATGACTTCTTGCACAAAATCCACTGAGCCTCATGTATGTTCGCTGGTTTTAGCCATGGAGGAAACTCTTGGCTGGAGACAATTTTCGTTACATTTACACTTGCTCATATTTTCCAGGCAAAACGTTAATGGCGCATCTCCCAAATGTCCCGGCCGCAACAACGCTTTTATTGGTTCCGCTATCGGGACGGAACCAATAATGGCGAGCCGATATTTATTAATTTTTTATATATATATATATATAAAAAAAAGGTCAATTTTAACGTTTTATTTAGATTACAAAAATAAATCGTAATAAAAATAATCCTATTTATGATGTTTTAAAAATTAAGACCTACAAAAGGCTAATTTAAGACATTTTAATACCAATTAAGGCCTTAGTTTTATTTTGAAGAATTCAATGCCTTTTAAGACTTTTTAAGGACCCGCGGGAACCCTGATCTGGTTCTCAACAGGTCTATGAATGCACTTGTTGAGGTAAATTTAATGAAGAAGTAAAAATACAGAAGCTATAATCCAGAACGGATCTTCAAGAAACTCATAAACTAGGAGACACTGGGGTGGGGTGATCAAAGTAATGAAGGGAATCCAGCAATGAGGAACAGCACAGGAGGTGTATATATGGGCGATAGAACAAAGAATGGGCTAATCAGCTAATGGGAGCAGGTGTGGATAGAAGCAACTAGAAGGGACCTGGGGAAAAGGAGACTGGCACAAGGGGGCAACAGAGAGTAACTAAAAAAAAACTGCTTAAATATAACTACAAAACAACAAGAATGACACAAAATGGAAATGAAACCAATGATCCAGAAAACACAGAATGATATAAATCAAAGTGTAGATGAAAAAAAAATAAATCGAAAAGAAAACCTAAACAGATCCAACAGGTCCAGAAAGGGCAACCCCTCCAGCCGCTGAATCTTGCGGTTTGTTGTTCCTATTGAAATATACTTTACAACCTCCAGAGCCAGCAGTTCACCTCCAAAACAGAGAATGGTGGCAATGATACTCTCAGGTGAAATGTTCAAACCAAGTTGATTTTTTAGTTGTGAGTATATTATTAGTATACATTAAACTGACAACAACACTATAGTCATTATTCAATGGCTTCAATAAAAATGCAAAAGTTGAACAGAACGTTGAAATTTACAATCTTTTCAGATCTTATGCTCTATGGTAGTGATTCCCAACCTTTTTTGACTTTGGTACCCCTTTGGGCATTTTTTCTTACCATGAATCCCCCTCTCAGCCAAAAGTATTGATGACTGTTTAAAAGAAGAACGTACAATAACTGATTATAAAATAAAAACAATTTTACATAATCTTTGAATTTGAGCATTTGTCAGGCATTTTATTATTTCCTTCTCAATTTAAAAGCAACATAAATATATTGCCAGGAAGTTAAAAAAAGGAATCAAAATAAAAACCATTTGAAATCATATTATAAACCTGTATTTACAAAACTGGAGCTCCTCTGAGTAACTGACTTATAATCACATTTAAACTGAATTGGGAACAAAATCCAGAACAAAGATTATAGACAGACTGCTTAAATGAGCTCTGATAGCTCAGAGTTAGTTTTTTTAATATAATTTTTAGAAACTTTAAAATTTAAAGGGTCCAAAAAGCCACATGTGGCTCCGGAGCTGCAGGTTGTAGACTCCTGGAGTAGCGACTGAGAAGCTACATGGAGGTTGGTGCTTTTCTTCCAAATAGGAAAATTAAATGTTTACTAATAACTGCTAACATTGTCCTGCCAGGTAACTAGCTAGCAACAAGCACAATTGAACAAGTGATCCACTTACTGGCAAAATGATTATACTGCTTTAAACTATATAACTATTACTAAACAACACCTTCAAACTGGATTTTTTTTATTTATGTTTTTGTTTCTAAACAAAATAAAATTTGCATAATTATTCAATGCAGTCTCAGTTTAAATACAGATGTTGTGTGAAGGCATCAGATGTTAATTATAGGATTTCAATGAATTGCTGGCTATTGTCCACATTTCCAAATCTAACAAAAATACTGTTAATTTTTTTTACTTCTACCATGTTAAAACTGTTTCTAAAATATTAAAAGTAGGTCTTGAAATTTCGGCACAGCTGCTCATATTTATTTCATGTTTTTGATGGTTAAGGCTGCTAAAATTTCAGTTTGTGCAACTAGCGTTTTTCATACATTATATTTGATAAGATATTATCAAAGTATAAAGTTAATCTGAAGGCCCATTAAACCTCCAGTGGTCAAACAAAAGGCCTATTGAAAGTTCACCTTTAACTGGTTAATCTTTAAACTGATAGTAAACGCAACATAATGACTTTTGCAAACAAGGTTATGTTTTAGTCATGATTGTTTATATGTCTGTAAGCAGGATTATTTAAAAAGTTATTCACCGTTTTTAACTTTTTTTTTTTACTAGAGTTGCGCCTCATGCATAAGAGCAATCCATTGCATTTTGGTGATGATCAAGATC